TTTTTTTTTTTTTTTTTTTTTTAATAAAGAACACCCGGGAAATCCCGAAACAGGAAATATAAATAAATATATTTAGGGAATATATATTTTATATATATAATATATATAATATATATATTATATATAATATATATAATATATATAATATATATAATATATATATAGAGAGAGGGAATATATATATATAGGGAATATATATTTTATATAAATATTTTAAAAAATATGAATAGGGAAGATAAACACGTAGAGGGGAAGGGAAATTCTCAGCTGAAGAACCGGACGCTTTCCAGAGGATTCACCCGCTCCTGTTTTTGTTTTTGTTTTTGTTTTTTTTCCCCCGGCAGGCTCTGCAACGACAGCATGTCCAACGTCAACGTCTGTGAGTATTTCCCCTCCGGGGGGTTTGGGGAGGTTTGGGGGGTCGTTTTTTTTGGGGGGAGAGCGGGTGAGGAACCTGCGCTTCTGCTTCTCTTGCAGCCGTGGTGGGCAGGACCAGCATCTCCGGAGGCAGAGGCGGCGGGATGGGAGGAGGATTCGGCGGCAGCGGGATGGGAGGAGGAGGATTCGGGGGCAGCTGCGGGATGGGAGGAGGATTCGGAGGCAGCGGGATGGCAGGAGGAGGATTCGGCGGCGGCAGCTGCGGGATGGGAGGAGGAGGATTCGGAGGGGGCAGCGGGATGGGCGGGGGGATGATGCACGGCGGGGGCTTCTCGTCGGGCAGCGGGAGGATGTGCGGCTCCGGCGGGGGCTCGTCCTCGGTGCGGAGATGCGTCACCACCTCGGTGAAGTCCTCGGGGGTGCGGTTCTGAGCCCCGCCGAGCAGCACCAGCAGCTCCAGCAGCAGCTCCAACAGCAGCAGCTCCTCGTCCCTCCCGCCGGCAGCAGCCCCAGCCTCCCCACTCGCAGCCCCTCCGTGGGACGAGCCGCGCCCCCCCCCCCCACCCGCGCCCGGCTCGGCCCGGCCCGCGGTGCCACGCGGGGCGTGGGGGGCGATGCCGGCGGGGTCGCGGTACGGGGGGGCTGCCCGGCACGAGGGGTCCCCGCGCTCCCCACCCACCACCCCCCCACGCCTCGCTGCCTCGGGCATTTCTCGTGTATAAAACTCGCTCGGTCCCCGTGTCCGTGTCCCACCCTCCGCGTGTTTGTCCCGCTCTCCCCCCACCCCACCCGGGATGTCGTTGCCGTTCCCAATAAACCGCAGAGAACATTCACCAGGGTCCTCGTGTCGCTGCTTCGGGGGCCGCCCCGGGGGGGGGGGGGCACGCGTGGGAGGTTGGTGGGTGGGTGATGGTGGGACAGGAACTGGGAGGGGTTTTTTGGGGGGGGTCGTTCTTCTGCCCAGCGTGTTGTGACTGAGGGGCGGGGATGGAGCAGGGAAAGGTGTCCACGCTCGGGGGACCCCCCTTGGCCCCCACCCGGAGCCACCAACGCGTGTTTTGGGGGCTGGACGTGACCGTCACGCCACGCTCGGTGACAGCGGGAGCCCCGAACTGGAGCAAGCCGGGAGGCTGCTCAATTTTTGGGGGGCGTCCCCCTAATTTAGGGAACACGCCCAGCTCATCCCTGGAATCCCCGCGAGTCGTTTCCACCGCAATTGCCGGGTCTGGAAAACTCCAGCGCGGGGAGAGGGGGGTTGGTCCAGCACCTTCCCCGCCAGTCCTTGAGGGGGTTCAGGGTGCCCCGCCCCAATTTTTAGGGCTCTGCCTCCGAGGGGATTCACTGCCCACGTCACGTCCCACCAGCTCCGGGAAATCCCAACCTCCCTGGGATTCCTGATTCTTTTTTTTTTTTTTTGAATTCTCTGCCGAAAACCCCAACAGCAAATCCCGGGATCTGGGTGGGAACGCTCCCAGTGCCTCGTGGCCGAACCGGGGGGAGACCCGAAGAGCCGATCGCGGGTGGGAATCGGCCATGGGAGGCGGGAGCAGACATGGCCCCGCTCCCTTGTCGGCTCATCTGAGTTTCCTGCCCCGGAGTGGACTTTGGGGCAGCGCGGGAGCCCCGTGGGAGCGTGGGGGGGGCGGGAGGGGACAGGGATAAGATGCGAGCACCAGGGATGCCACAGAGCCACGAGCCGCGATTTTCCAGCCGTGGGAACGCGGCGGGCTGGGAAGGGGCTGATTCATCCCACCAAAAAGCCCGGCAGGGAGCTCCCTGCAGAGCCGAGCGGCTCCCCCCGTGGGCTCTTCCCTCCCTCCCTCCCGGAGCAGGATTCGGAGCGGGTGGGAGGGGAGTTGTGGGTGCGTTTGATCCGAGCTGCGCTGCGGTTCCTGCGCCGCGGGGAGAGATCAAAGGGGCACAAAACGCTGTCGGGGGTGGATCGGGAGTCCCACAACAACCCCCCCGGGAGCCGCCCCGTGTCCCCAGAGAGGGTCAGGAAGCTGCAGACCCAGAGGGAGGTCCAGGACAGGCTCTTGGAAGAGGGAATTCCCCCCTTTTCCAAGGGTTCTGCAGCCGGGAAACGTCGCTGGGTCCGACCCAAGTAAAGATGCTGAGCAGGCAAAGCCTGTGAGAAGCTGGTGCTGAGCCAGGAGAGCTCCGGTGTTTGGCTCGGGGCAAGAGTCACCTGTTTTGGCGCTTAATCACCTGTTTTGGTGCTTAATCACCTGTTTTGGTGCTTAATCACCCGCTCCGGTGCCCAGTTTTTAAAGAGCGCCTTTCTCCCAAGCTTTTACAGCGAACTTTAAGCGGCGTTGGGGCATTTTTGGGGAGTCCTTGCGACACCTCCGGGGCCCGGCTCGTCCTCCCTCCGCGTTTTTTTTTTCTGCCGAGTTCACACTTTCCTCTCTCCCCCTCCCTCCCTCCTCCCTCCCCGGTGCCTCCGATTCTGCTGCCGCAGCTCCTTTCGCAAGAGAGCTCCGAGGGCTCGGCCGGGGCTGCCGGTCGGGTTCTCACCCCGGGAGGAGGCTGAGCCCGGCTCCGGGCTGGGGATAATCGGCACATCTCGTCTGGAGACGTCAGAGTGACTCGAGCTCGGGGGCGTCTTATCTGCGGGCGCCGAGCGCGGTCAGCAGCGCGGCATCACCGCTCCGGCTGACTCGGCACATCCTCTCCTCCCCTCTCCCTCCCCGGAGCTTCGTCCCGGGAGGCTCCCGGTGCCTTCCCGAGGGGTGGAGGGTGCCGTTTGGAAATCGGGATTACCCCCCCCCCCCATCCTCACCGGGAGAAGGGATGAACTGTTTTGTCCAGCCCCCCCCGGGGGGGCTGCTCCGGGATTGAGGGGTGAGCCGGGGGGGGGGGGGTAAAATCTCCACCGTGGATGTGGCGGTGGAGAAATAAGAGGATCTTCACTCGGATTCCTTCGTTCGGGGTCCTTCCCGGGAGGAACACACGCCTGGAGAACCCTCG